CACCAAAAATGGGAACAACACCAATGAGGACAGATAACATTGAATTCAAAGTCAAAAGTATTAAAAGACAGAAGCAAGGATATTATATCATGACAAAAAGTGCTATTAAAAATTAGATTATATTACTTTTAAATATATGCACTAATAATGCTATGGTAGAATTCATAAAAGAAAACTTCATAGCCTTGTAAGAAGAAATAGCTTTAAAAAAGCAGTGGAAATTTTAATACTTCATTACTTATATATGAGAAATAAGAAAGAAATTAGAACCAGAGTACTAAGTAAACTAAATCTAATAGACATATGGAGATAATTTAATAAAAAAGATACCAAGCATTTATGGACCTCCCTATAAAATTTATCAAGTGCTAGGCCACAAAGTAGATAGAAAAGCAGATTATTAAATATACTACATTTATAGACTGTATAATACAATAAACCTAGTACTAACTAATGATTCAGTGAAAATGAAAAAAATTACATTAAATGGGTAGAAGTAGAAATTATAAAAACAATGGCAGATTGTATCAACAATAATGACAATGCAGATGCTTCATATCAAAATCTATAGGATGTAGCCAAATCAGTAAGTGGTAATTGGGAAAATTCATAGCCATAAATGCCTATCTCAATAAGAAAGAATGAGAATTAACAAACTGAATTTGCACCTAAAAACACTGGAAAACCCACACAGAAAAGGAAAAGTCACTGAGACCAGTGCTGAGATCAGTACAACTGAAAATAAAGCTATTTAAAACATAAATAGATCCAAGAACTGTTCTTTTGAAAAGAATAACAAAATTGATAAACGATTAGCAAGCCTAATCTAAAAAGGAAATGAGTAAACACTAATGACGAAAATTAGGCATTGAAAAGTAGACATCAGAATGAGGACAAAAGAAATGGAGAAAATGATCAGAAATTACTATCCATAGCTCTAAGCTAACAAATTTGAAAATCCCAGACACTGATGCTTGCTTACAGAATTATAAAATATCCAAAGCAACAAAATAATAACTAAATAGAGCAATCCCATGAGAAATCAGAAACACATTAAAGAACTGCCCTTCAGAAAGATATTGGTTCCCAAGTGATTTCTAGCAAACCTTGAAGAGTGTGTAACTTTTTTTAACTATGTAAAGTATTTCAAAACATATAGCAAGATGGCAGGTTACCCAACTCTTTCTAACAGGTGAATATGAGATTGATTCAATAAGCAAAGACGAAACCGTGAAAGAATGTTGTAGACCAATATAACCAATGAATATCTGCAAAAATATGAAATAGTCAATAAAAGTCAACTAACATTTTTTAGTCACGTATCATGTGCCAGGCACTGTGGTAAACATTGGGGATCCAAAGAAAGGCAAAGGAGTTCACAATCAAATGGGAGAGTCAATAAGCACAAATATGTACAAACAAGTTACAAATTGGATAAATAGGAAATAATTAAAAAGAGGAAGTGCTAGAATGAAGGATTGGGAAAGGCTTCCTGTAGTGGAAGGGATTTTAGTTGGACTTAAAGGAAGCTAGCAAGCCAAGATAGAATATAGTAGCAATTTAAAATAATTTATAAATGGTACGCAAGGTTGATTTACAATGAGGAAAGTAACGACTATAAGAAGGTTTATCAACAGGAGAAGCAGTAAAAGCCACGTGATCTCATCCTTAGCTGTCGAGGAAGCCAATATGTTTTACTTGACTATGTATATTTGTTAAGAGAGTTTTAGTTTTGTTTTTAGTTGAGAGGGAAGCAAGGTGGAGAGAAAATAAATACTTGTTAATTGAAAAAAATAAAATTAAGGTAAAAGATTGCTAGATAGAGACAGACGGGCTATTGGATTTTAAATCAGAGGACTTGAGTTTAAATCTCAGCTTTGCTACTTATGTGCAAGACATGTCCTTCCTTTAGGCTTTAGTTGTTTTTTTTTTTCACCTAGAAACCCTTGATTAAAAATAAAACATTAATTTATGTCAAAAACATTAAAATATATGGGAATAGAATAATTTCTTTGTAACATGATAAAACACGTATATTGAAATCATGAGCTAACATTATATGCAATCTTTTAAAAAAGAAATGGGAATCATCCCTGCATAAAAAAGTGTTAAACATACATATGTGTCTTATCATTCTTATTTAACACAGTTTTAAAATATTATCAATAGAGTGTGAAAAGAAATCGAAGGAGTAAGCATTGGCAATGAAGATGTTAAAATTTCTCAGTTTTGTAGATGCTATAATCAAACAATGAGAACCTCCCCCCCAACTTAATAAAACTAATGGAGTTAAATGACAAGTAAAGTAGCAATAATAAAAGATAAATTCACAGAAATTTTGTCTATGTTTATTCACTACCATCAAAAACTGGGAGAAACTGATAGAGAAATAATTTGAAATAATTTTTAAAATTATTAAGTAAACAAATAATATTGTATTTATTATAATTATATTATATATAACATAAGTAATAATATATAATAGCATATATAAGAATGTACCAAAATAATATAATTATTTCATTATAATATTATTAAATAAATAATTATAATTATTAAAAAAATAAAATTTTAAATAAAATAAAAATTAAGATAACAAAAGGATTTGTTTTGATATTATTGTGTATTATTTGCATTATTATATTTGACGTATTTGATATTATTGTATATTGATTTTGGAAAGCATGAAGTGATCAATATAAAGACAAATTCAGATATCAAAAAAGAGTGGGACAAATGGAGGGATGTCTTTCATTCATGGCTATGCTGAGCAAATGTAGTAAAGTTGTGGCAGGTAGGTGGTACAGTGGTTAAAGAACAAGGCCTAGAGCCCAAATCTGGCTGTAGAACTAGCTGTGTGATACTGGGCAAATCACGTTCTCTGTGTCTACCTCAGTTTCCTCCTCTAAAAGAGGGGCATAATAAAGCACCTTACATGCAGGCTTGTTAGGAGGATAAAATGAATTAGTATTTGTAAAATACTTTGCAAATCTTAAAGTTCTCTGTCAATGCTAACTATTTAAAATGATAATGTTTCTCAAACTAACTTTCAAATGGAATGCAATGCCAATGACATTATCAACAGATTACTTCATAGAATTAAAGTTATAACAAAACTCAGATGGAAAAACAGCCAGAAAATAATATCAAGATGTATAAAAAAATAAAACTGGGAAAAGGGCCTAGAACTACCAGATCTCAAAATGTATTATGAAGCAATAAATAAACACTGGTACTGGAAAAAGAATTTTTAAAAATAGATCAAAGAAACAGGATGAAAAACTCAGAACTAGAGCCTAATATATCTGAAAGATTTATTTTTTAGAAATCTGTACTTTAAACAACAACTTGGATAGGGAACAACATTATTCAATAAAAATTCATAAGAAAACTGACCCCAAAATAGTTTGGGATCTGTCCTTCCTTTAACATACCTAAAAAAACCCCAAAACTATAACTGGATCAATGATCTAAATATATTTTTAAACGAAAGGAAAAGATATTATTTAGATGTCCAATTATTCTGAGGAAGAACATCTTATCATCCCATAAGAGAAATTATTAGAGACAAAGTTGATAGGTTTATACAGATAAAAGAATTTTGTACAACATAAAGCAATATCTCAAAAATGAAAAGAAATGAAACAGATTGGGAAAAACATTTCCAGTAAATGTAAAAGATTCTTATGGCTGACAACCAGAATCTGAAAAGAATGGATCCATACCTATAAGAATAATAATTTGCAGTCTCCAATACAGCAATGATCAAAGAACACGAATAGCAAATATATAAAAGGAAGAAATACGTGTGTTAATAACTACACGACAAGATGCTATCCTTATTAATCAGAGAAATCCAAATTAAGACCACCTTAAGATACCACTTTCCCCACTAAAACAGTAAAAAATAAAATAAAATGCAATAGTATGAAGGTGTGGGAAACACAGGCACTCTAATACATTACTGTCAGTAATACAGCCTGGTGCAAACCTTTTGGAGAGCTACAAGCAATGAGTCACAAAGATGACCATGCCTTTTGACCCTTTAAGCACTAGATTTAAACACACCCTGGACCAGTTTGGAATTTACTTAGGGGATGATATGGAATATTGTTACAAATATTAAAAATCTGACATTTATTGCTTTGGAGTGCACATACCACATCTAGACTCTCTATCATCATGATCCCCCTTATTCATTAGACACAGGTACTATCTATAATCATGGCCACATAATTTATTGAACATAGCAAAAATCAAAGGAAAAAGTTGTGCTTCTCTATGGAATCATATTTGTCCGGCTATGACCCCAAATTCCTCCTTCCAAATGCCCTTTCAGTTCTTTGGGATTGGCAGGAGGAAGTGTGTGTGTGTGTGTGTGTGTGTGTGTGTGTGTGTGTGTGTGTGTGTGTGTGAGAGAGAGAGAGAGAGAGAGAGAGAGAGAGAGAGAGAGAGAGAGAGAGAGAGAGAGAAAATATATAGTATTTTAACTCTGGGTCATAGACTATACTAGTGGAATTCATGGGGACAATGAAACCCTGTCCTCTCCAGCTCCATCACTGGATGGCAGAATTCTTAAAGGTGCCAATGTGAGGACTTGGAATCTTTTTCCTCCCTCTAGCTTTCACTCCCTCCTCCATTCCAGGATGTAGGTTATTCTCACAGCCTGGTCTCTGACAGACTCAGACCAAGTTCAGTGGCTCATCACTCTATGCCTCTCATGTGGCAGCCTGGAAATTGGACTCCCCAAAGTCAGCTGCCTCTCATTTACGTGGTAATCATTACACCTCATTTCAATAACAGCCACTGATGGCTGTAATGCCCTGCATGGTGATCAGGAAGTCTATATATCTCAAGGGCAGCTAAAAGAAGTGGACCCCAAGCCTAAAGACCAATGTACTGCTGTTATATCTCCCTCCCCATCCCACAACCCTCTTAACTTAGCTTCCTGCTCATTTTGAGACCACTCCCATTAAGGACATGCATTCACATTTACACCTCTCTGATAAGAGGGCCCAGGGCAGTTACAGGTTACAAGAGCATTTTAATGTATGGAATATTGTGGTGCTATTTAAAGTGTTGAATAGGAATCATACAGGAAAACATAGAAAAAAGAGATACATAAGTATAAAAATCACCATATGAAGTGATGCAAAATTAAATCAGCAGGACTAGAACTGCATATACATGGTTACACACACACATTTTTAAAAAGAATTATAAAAAAAGAAACAAACAAACAAGCCAGAAATAGTAGAGCTTCAGGTAGACATGGAAGGGGGCACTTCTGTACAAATGCAAAAAGCACTTTCTTTGCTAGCTTGTTATCGGCAATGAAGGGCTGGCCAATGAGCCCAGTTTTAATGAACATGTGCAGGGTGCTCAGGGGATCCAATTTCCCATGTGCATTTTGGAGCACGGGCAGACATTGTTTAATTGTTTCTGCTGATCAGGAGGTGAAGAGGAACGTTGATTGATTAGCTGTTGACCTGGTACTGGGTTGAATTCAAAAGGCACAGAGTAGCCAAAGTAGGTCTCTTTCTAGCCTGGCTGGCATTTCAGAAGGTGGATAACCATCTGTGGACCTCTGCAGCCTCTCTCTCACCCAGAACTGGGAAGGAGCCAAAAGTACGTGGTCCTGCTGTTGCTTCTGTCTCTATTGTCTCTATTTTTTTCCCATGCTTTTAGGTGAGGGCAATTGATATGACTTTGTAAGTTGCAAAAAGGTCAGAAGAGGGAGTCAGCCCAAAACAAAAGCTTGAATCCATGCTGGAATTTGCTGGAAAACTTGAGTAATTTCTTTATCCAGTTCATCAGTAGCAGAAGTTTGGACTCATCCATGCTTCAACCTTGTTGTATTTGGAAGTGAACTTGGTCGAACTAATGCTATGGAGGAAAAAAAAATCAATTTGGTGCATAAGGTGCCCAGGGACCAAGATGATTTAGGAAGAAATGTACCTCCAGTTGTTGGAAATGTTTAGATTTCTGTTCTTGTGATATCTTCATAGTAACTATTCCTTTGTTAAAGCTTATTAATTATTGCTTGGAAAAGTAGAAATGGGGCACCAATCACTAGTAGTTAATAGTGTGGAAATATCCTGGAATGGGTGCTGAAGTTAACAGTAGCAGATAGGGGAAGTGCCACCTAATCGAGTAAAGGGACCCATTGTGTGCCAATGGACATGTTGAGTGAAGCCAGCTCAGAGGAACAGCTATGTTTTTCCATACTGATAGGATGGATAGAATAGGGAAGGTGAAGCCAAGGAAGAGTGACTGGAACAGTAAATGCTTCTCCAGGAACTAAGGCTCCAGTGTTCCCATTTCTTCCCAGTGTCCAAGGAGATGAAGGCAGACCTATTGAAGATGGAATCAGAGCCTCTACAGACGCTGGCAATGTTGAGACTGAGGAAGCCAGAGTAAACACCAAAGAAATAATGAGGCAGAATAAGGGGAATTTCTGTGCATATAATGACATATAATAGGGCTTCTCCTCCTTCCGGTCCTTGTCTATGAATCTGAGTGACTTTCTGGGGATTCTCTCCATAGAGTTTCAAACCTGGGGGAGGAAAAGGAGGAACATTAGAATGTATTCCGAGGGACAGGATTATATGGTAGGGTAATATATTTGTCCTGTTTGGTCTTGTGGGTAGTAAGAATAAGCCAGGGGTATAATCCAGATTTCTCAGATCATTATGAGAATAACCCTATGATGACACAGACCTTGGGGTTGGTTGGTTCAGAAAATGCCTGAAAAGCCTCCTTCTGAGTTTTTTCCTTCTTTCATTAGCACATTAGGTAGTTCTGAACAAAGAAGATCTTTCCTGACATATTCCAAAGAAACTAGAGCACATGTGTACACATGCACATGTCCATGTGTAGGCACACACACACACACACACACACACATACACATACGTGCACGATAGAAAGCAGAAAGATTTTCTTGAATATAAGACAGATCATCTTTCATTAAGCAACTCTAAATACTCGCATTAAAAGTGCACTCTGTTGCTGGAGTTCCATGAGCTGATTGCTGAGCCAAGTGAAAATGGGCCATTACAAGTGGGCACTTAGAGCAAAGCCTAAGAAAGATGAATGGCTGTTCCCACCAAGCTCCCCAGGGGCCGAAGAGGCTGCCTGTCCAACCTGTGAGGCAGACACAGAAGCCAGAGCTACCTCTCTTCCTGACAGAAGTCATCAATCTCCCCTACAACCCACAAGAACAAAAGCTGGTGAGTGGGTTGAGTTGTTTTGGAAAACAAAGGTGGTATGCTTGGGCCAGGTTCTGGAGTGGAAACTCTTAATGATGCCCAAGGCAGGGAGGTCAAAGCTGGAGCAGGTGGTGATGAGTAGTTAGTATCTAGGTTTGGAGTAAAAGTCTGACCATGGGAAATGTGAGGCCATCTTGAGACCTCACAACACTTCTCTTAGAACTCGAGGGCCTCGCACAGGGACAGCTAGATGGATTATAGCTTCTCAGGCTTCACAGTGTCGTGTGAGGTCCAGACCTAGGGGTACTTCTATTGAGGAACTGATCTCGTGCTAAATAGATATCTCAGATATCTAGAATGGGAATTCTTAAGCTGCGATCTGTGAACTTTAAAAAATATATTTCGATAACTATTTCAATGTAATTAGATTTCTTTGCAGTCCTATATATTTTATTTCATGAATTTAAAAACATTATTTTGAGAAGAGGACCATAGGCCTCAATGGATTGCCAAAGACTGCCATGACATACATAAAAAAGGTTAAGAACCCTTATTCTAGAAGGCCCACAGGAGAGAATTGAAAGAGGCCACCAGTGCAGTTCCTTGTTTCTAGAAAGGGTAGTAGCCAAACCACCATAATTTGACAGCTCCAGGAAAATCAATTTCTTAATTTCTCTGTGATGTCTTTTTCTTTTGTAATTTCACCTCTAATCAGTCAATAAGCATTTATGAAATGACTACTGTGTGCCATGGGGTTCATTAAGTGCTAAGGATACACAGAGAGGAATGAAATGGTCCTTGCCTCAAGGAATTTACATTCAATAGGAAGAGACCACATATAAAAAACACGTAAGTATATACAAATTAAGTACAGGTTAAGCTATAAAGCTTAAAAGTACACTAAGATTTTTGGGACACCATGTATGTTCAAAATAAATATAAAGTAATTTGGGTGGAAGGCACTAGAAGGTGAAGAGACCAAGAAGGGTCATATGTAGGAGGTGATTCCTTCTTTGAGTTGTGGGTTTTTTTTTTGCTAGGCAATGGGGTTAAGTGACTTGCCCAGGGTCACACAGCTAGAGAGTGTCAAGTGTTTGAGGCCTGATTTGAACTCAGGTCCTCCTGATTCCAGGGCTGGTGTTCTATCCACTGCACCACCTAGCTGCCCCTTTAGTTAAGTTTTTAAGGGATGTTAAGAAGCAGTGTATTCTAGATGCAGGGACGGGAGATGAATTGTTCTGTGTGAGATTCTTTTAGAACCTCACAACATGGCAGTTTGGACCAAATCTTTTCTCTGATGCTGGAGTCAGTGTAGACTTTTCCACGCAAGTACCATCTCCTATGACAAACCTTTCTACAACCTTCTTTGTGGCCTCCCTGGAATGAGGGGAGGGGAATCCAGAATTTAATTACATACTTTGACTCAACTCAAACTTCTCTGGTGAGAGATAACATGAAGGAATTCCTGCCAGCTCTGGATGGATGCTTTTTCCATTCACAGGTTCTACATACTACCCATCCATTCATCTATCCATAAATCCATCCATCCATTCATCTACCAACCTATCCATTCCATCCATCCATCCATTCGTTCATCCACACACCCATCCAACCTTCCACAGTCCTTTGCTAGGTGCTTTGGGGGATAAATAGATACATAAACTTGATGCAGATTCCTGGCAAAGTTTGAGAATGAATTATTAAAGCAGTCCTTTGTGAGACATTAGAAAGGGTGGTGACTGTCTCTTTAAATCATTGTTTCACCACAAAAATATCTTCAAGGCTCAACTCAAGTACCACCTCCTATGGGAGGCTTTTAAAAATATCCTAAGGATAAATCTTTCTATCCCCTGAAATTATCATAAGATCATAGACACAGATTTGGGAGGAACCTCAGAGATCAGCTAGTTTAACCTCCTTATTTTTTATATGTGCAAACTGATGCCTGGGGAGGTTAAATGACTATCCCAAAGTCACAGAGATAGTGAGCATCAAATATGAGATTTGAACCCAAGTCCTCTGACTCTAAAACCAATGATCTTGAATTTAAATACACCCTTGGATCCTTACTAGCTGTGTGACCCTAGGCAAATATATATATATATATATATATATATATATATATATATATATATATATATATATATATATATATATGTTTAGGCAGTTGGGGTTAAATGACTTGCCCAGGGTCACACAGCTAGCAAGTGTCAAGTGTTTAGTCTGAGGCTGGATTTGAACTCAGGTCCTCCTGACTTCAGGGCCGGTGCTCTATCTACTGCACCACCTAGCTGCCCCCTGGGCAAATAATTTTAACCTCTGTTTTCCTCAGTTTTCTTCACTGTAAAATAGGGATAATAATAGAACCTACCTCACAGGTTGTTGTGCGGATCAAATAAAATAATATTTGCAAAAAACACTTAGACAGTTCCTGGCACATAGTAAGCACTATGAAAATGCTTATATATGCTTTATCTATCTATCTATCTATCTATCTATATATATTCATACATATGTTTACTTCATAACTAACAGTTATATAGCTTCAAGTTTTGTAAAGTCCTTAACATATGTATTATCTCTTTTATGGGATCCTCTCAATAACTCTGTTACGTAGGTGCTATCATTATTTCTATTTTATAAGTGAAGCACCTGAAACACAGAAAGGTTGTGACTTGTCCTAGGTCACCAAGTCAGTAAGTGTCTGAGACGCGATTAGAATTCTCCAAGTCTAGCCCTTTATCCATCTATCCACTGGCAACCTAGCTATATATCTTTATTTCTATGTGTACACACACATACATACATACAATATATGTATGTTTAATATGTATATATTTAATAATTTGGTCATATGGTTTCTCTGTCTCTCCTCACTCCCATCTCCAAGTAGAACATAAATTCCTTGAGGATAAGGGCGATTACATTTTTGTCTTTGAATCCCCACTGCCTGGCAAAATGCCTGGTACACGTTCAGTTATTTTTAGTCGGGTCCTACTCTCTGTGACCCCATTTGGGGTTTTCTTGGCAGAGATACTGGAGTGGTTTGCCGTTTTCTTCTCCAGCTCATTTTACAAATGAGGAAACCAAGACAAACAGGGTGAAGTGACTTGCCCAGGGTCACACAGCTAGTAAGTGTTTGAGGCCAGATTTGAACTCAGGAAGGTCAATCTTCCTGACTCCAGGTCTAACACTCTATCCACTGCACCACCTAGCTTCCTGCTCCGTATGTAGTAGGTTTATCAAGTTGGAGTCATTTGTTTTGTTTAGACTGGATTTCTAAACTTATAGATCAAAGGAATACTTCGGAGATATCATGCCCAGATCTGAGCAACGCATTTTACGATGTTTCTCACAATACACTTGTGGATAAACAAGATGGAGAAACATGGGTTTGTTGCCAATCCAGTTAGGAGGATTCAGAGCCGGTTAAGTGACTGGATCCAAGGAGCTTTGATTCATGTCAACCCAGAGGGAGGTCTCTAGCAGAGCACAAACGGGCTATTACTCTGCCCTCAGTTTTGTCGTGTGCAACATTTTATCAATGCCTTGGGTTGAAGACAGATGACATACTTGTGGATATTTGTGGATGACACTAAGCTGGGGGTGGGCTAGGAGTCAAGGGAAGGCAAAATGGATGATAGAATGGCAATCCCAAGATCTTGACAGGTTGTAATGCTGGTCTGAACTGAGATGAAATTCAATTGCGATAAATGTGAAGTCCTGCATGTGTATCCTCATCCTTATGAGCTGTGATTTCATTAATGTGGGCGTTCCATCAAATGATGCAGACACAGCCTGTCCATGCCTGCCCATCCTGTGCGCCACTCTCTTTCCATGCCGATGTCTGCTAAAGGGCTCCACCCAAGATGCTGAGGACCTTCCTTAAGTTACCTTGACATTGTGAGGATAGCAAAGTAGCATGAGCAATGTCAACTCTTGCTCCCACAATGTGACCAGTCCATTTAAAAAAAAATTAGACCATTCATTTCTCTGGTGACACCCTTGACCCCGCTTCTCGGACATAATTTTTTGTTTGGGTTATGTTGCTGTCTGCCCATGGCTATAATGCTGCTCACCATTCTTCTTCTGGTGATCTTTAATTTAAATTCTTCAGAGACTATAGTTCTTTCTTGACTTCTAGCCATATGACATTGCTGGAAGAATAATGGGGTTAAAAATAGGGGCTTTTGTTTCAAGGAGATAGTTAGGGTCATTAAAAGAATCATGCAGTTTCCCAAAGGCAATCCAGCCTTCTTTACTTCTCTTGTACAATTTTTTCAACCTATGAAAAAGTCCTATATATTTTAAAAAATCAATTTCACAAGTATGGTTTGGGGAGTAT